TACTACTTAATATGATACCGAAATGGCCTCTAATTGTGCTAATTCTTAACATAAACCTTCCACTTTCAAATACATACTTAGGAACATCAAATTACAGACTTTTCATGAAGAACAAGGCAAATTTGATACTCATTGAAATCATGCAAATGTCAATTATATTGCTGAAAAATAACAGTGGGCATAACTTCCATCACTGATGCTACTCATACCATTGACATGCTAATTCATGATCAATTCTCTCCTAAGGACCTACAAGGTAGTAATCCACTTACCTTAAGTGTATAGTGCCTCCAAAACCTTCTTCCACAGCCTTTTTCAACTCATACAATGGCAGTTTTAACAGTGAGCTAAAGGGGGCTTCTTTCAAATTTTCCAAATTGTCAGAGAGAGAGAGAGAGACAGAGATGAAAGGGAAGTAAAGTGGCGTGAGAGTGAGAGGAGAGGGCTTAAGTACCCTGTGACTGGGTGGCAGTCTAGGTGGCGCCAGGTGGCGTGCAACTGGACAAGTGGCACACATGGCAGCATGCACTTAGTAGGTGACGTTCACTATCTATGCATGACATTGACACACACACACGACGTTGCTTCCTCTCTCTTTTCAATTCCTAAACCATATGGATCTTTTTCCCATCAAATTAATTTAATTATATTTTTTTTATGATAGAAATTATTTTAGAATTATTATTTGAATTTTTATAAACCTATGGATATTTTATTTATAAAATTTGGATTTCTAAAATTAAAGATCTTGATTTTACAATGGTTGAAATAATCAAATAATATACTAAAAATTCTTTTATTAATTTTAAATATATAAAAATTCCATGGGGGCCCATTGTGCACGTTTGCGCACCATATTTCTAGAAGGTGGGGCTCATAAATCCCTTCCTTGGGTGGCACACCCCACCCTTTATTCTCTTTCCTATTTTTTAGTGATATGGCATGTGACTATATGGTTGGAAGATGTTGACTAAATATTTGACTTGATATGATTTTGAAAGATTTTGTGAAAGTATGAGAATACACAATATTTTGATTAGATGATTTCTATTGATGGGAAAATGGTTTAAGAAATGGGTATAAACGTTCATGCACCTTCCATGATGATGTTCCATCTATGGAATGAATGACTCAGATCTCTCACCCCACAAGTCACCCTGATAAACGGTTCACATTCAATCTCACTAGAAGAGGCAAACTATGAGAAACCCTAATAAACTCTTATCCCAATTTTTCACTATAAATAGGGGTGTACCCCCTCTTATTCTCTACACCTTCTCTCTTTTCTCTCTTCTCTCATATATCTCTCTTCTATCTTTAAGGGGCACGCCTCACTCTCTCTCCTTTCCCTCTCTCTCTCCTAACCTATTTCTAGAGGGGTATGCCCCAGCCCTAGGCCACCTCCTAAGTCTCTCTCTCATCTTGAATAAACCTAAGTGTTGGGTAGTAGAGGATATGCTAAATTAGGTCTCAAAGCTTGGGAGTTCTAAAGAGTTCAGTAGAGTAGTTTGGCCTAAATTGCTTTCCAGGTTGAGATTGAAGCTAGATCATTGATCCTGCACCATCGGATGGTGGTGACTCAGTGTGGGGTGTAATAAGCCCGATTGAGGTAATCTTTGTCACTCTCTATTTTTATTTATTGCAATTTCATCTTTATATTCTCAAGCATAAGAATAATTATTTCAATGATATCAAGTTTTAAGATCTTGGTTTTATTGTTTTGTTGAATTTATTTTGAAATATATGTTATTGTAATAAGACCACCTGTAAGTGATCTTTTGCCAAAACAAAAGGGGTGAAATATATATATATAATTCGCCGGTAAAAGATCACATTGGTATTTCTTTCATATATTCCTGCATGATATTTTAAAAAGACTATAATTTATAAAAAGATGACGACGTAATAGACAAAGAAGATGAATATATTCACATACATGTCCTTCCCAAATATTATCGGACGAATGAATCTTATGCAGTTGCAGGCAACTGGGGTCCTTAGGACCTCCTACGTATCTTTCATCTAGATGGGTACGATTCATGACCACTGGAACCCCACATGATCACTATGTTAATTATAAGGTTACATATGCAAACTTAATTATAAAATGTAGCAAATCCTATCAAGCATCATCTGAGACACTTCTTTTAATGGTAAATACTCATTAAGGCGAGAGACAACAAATGAAATGCACTGTAATAACTATTTCCAATTTCTAAACACATATTAGAGTGCAGTGCCTAAGTTACAATTAGTTATTATGAAAATACAAATACTTATTTCTTAAATGTAGAAGAAATCATAGTAAGACAACAATTTATTGCAAGAAAGAGTAAAAAAAGAGAGGAGAAATTACATGAACATATAAACTTGACCAGTACTATTTCTCAAACCATCTAATCCAAATTGTGCATTTCAATACGTTAAATTGTATTTCTACTCGGTGATCGAAACTCATGATTATGAACACAATCAATGATTATGAACACAATCACATTCACATTCACAAAAGTGAAGCACATACAAATTGAAATAAAAATGTAAACCATAATTAAATGGATAACTAATCATATGATTTGCAAGCGAATGATAGACCTATTACTTTCTAGAAAAATAAGATATAACAAACCACCCATCAAATAACCTGGGCATTTTTTAATCAAATATTTATATCGATTTGGACATAGACATCAGTCTCTTTTTCGTGGTATTTTTGCAACTCATTAATTTATATGTAAGGAATTGCCAAACATGTTCAAGCAAGTTTCCTTTTTACTTGCATAAAATCCCCGAATTACTTAGGGCACAACAAGAAATTTGGTTTTCAGTGATTCATTTATTCTTGTCAATAACAATTGAAATTTAGATGATTGAAACCTTTCGCATGCAAATGCACACTAGAAAAACTGTTTGTTAAAAAAAAAAGTTTTGGAACTTGCTAGATGCAAAGCATAGCAGATTACAGAACGGAATACACAAGAGAAACAAACATTCCATCATCACATTTGCCACTTCAGACCACTGAAAGTTACTAACAAATGAGGAGACTCTTTACGAGTTCCTTTATCATTCACCCCCCAATAGGCAGACATTTTTGTGATAGTATTTCTCTAGCAGGAAAAAATTACAACATCAACTCTTCTACTTTCGAAAAATCATAGTTTATACCAATTTTTCATGGCATCTCATAACCTCAATGACAATAAAGGCACAATAGAACCAGATTAAACACTCGAAATTTTACAAGGCATCTCATGACCCTAATCACAACAAAGGCACAATAGAACCATATTAAAGAGTCAAAATCCTCAGAATAACAAGTTGTTTATCATGTAGAAACCTAACAAATATACCTTGGTAATTTTGTTTTGAAGTGAAATCCGTTGAATAAACCCTCAAATCAACCCTAAAGCGGCAATCTATACTCAAATATGAAACTTTAAATAATTATCTTCTTCAATCTAGATTTCTAAAATCAACTCTCAAATCAATATTTTTCATATACATACCTTTACTATAGATATGAAATCTGTAAAATAAAGTCCAAGATTTGGAGTGGGATTTCTTATGAAAAGTAAAAGAGAAAGCGATGCACATGGAAAAATTGCAGCTGAGGAGAGAGAGGAGAGCCAAACGATAGAGATTTGTAGCGGATGTGAGAGAAGCAAAGGGAAAATGATTTTTATAGGACGAAACACAAATTCGGTTTTTGAAAAACTTAAAGCTTATTTTTTAGGTTTTTGGAAACCCAAAGTTTTAAAAATTTCGGTTTTCAAAGACCGAAATGGCCATTTCTTTTTTTCTTTTTACTTAAAAACTGTTAGGATGGTTAACAAACACATATTGATGAAGAAAACTTCACAAAATTTTCATAATAACTCTAAAAATAACAACTATGTATGTTATTTTCTCTAAAAATATTAAAAAGGCAACAACAAACAGCGATACCCTTACATCAATAACCAACACAATTGACCCTTTTAAGTTTTAATTAAGAAAAAAGTTTGTATAAGGTCACAACCTTAAAATTTAGAATTAAGGAGCACATCAAAAATCGATAAAAAAAAGTTGTTTTGATGTTGGAAAACCATCTAAATGATAATTTGGATTTCAAGATATATGAATATGTTATTTTCTTTTAAAGTCTAAAACATAGTGCATCTTCCAATAAATTATCTAGACCTCCCATTTTCAAGATTTCATGTTTTTGTAGATCTATTTGATTTTAGGGAAAATTTCATTTAGAACCCTAATTCCTCATATTATTTCATAGTAGACCCTCTTTCCGTTTTTCTTTCAAGCGACATAAAGAAACTTTAAATATTTCACCGCACTCCTTCATCTCTTATCTCACTTTTTAATTTACTAAAAATTATTCTCAACCAATCTTTTTATACCATTTCAACTCAAAAACTTTTTTAACCATTTTTTTCCCTTTCCACCTATTAAAAAAGTTTTTAGGTTGAAATGATATAAAAAGATTTTTTGGGGTTAATTTTTATGATAAGAGATGATGGGTATAGTGAAATCTTTAGGGCTTTTCATATCCCATTTGAAATAAAAACGGTAAGATGGTCTACCATGAAATAATATGAAGAATTATGATTATATATGAAATCTTTTCTTGATTTTAACCAATTTTTGAAGTTTAAAATTTATAACTATATATGAAAATGGAGTTTTAGGTTATAATAAGAATTCTTAACTCTAAAATTACTTCTTATAATAAAATTTGGAGATGCATCTTAATTTGATGGTTTAATCTTAATTTGATTGTTTAAAGTTGCCCATTCACACCCTTTAATTAATATTAAAAAAAATAAAAAATAAATGGCCCTTTTAATCCGCAAATCCCTCTCTTTGTGCGTAAAAACTTGTTGACGGAATGGCCCCTCGCGGACATTCTGATTTCAATCAGCAGAACGTTCGGGCACGTGCCACTTTCTACGTCCAAGTCTTGGAGTCTGGCCACGTAAAATATGCGGTGTTTAATGCCCTTTCCCCGAAAAAGCCGTGATAAGGCTTTCAACTTTGGTTTTCCTCTGTCTCTCTCTCTCAATTCGGTTTCCTCTTTCTCAATTTTCAGCCAAGCTCTTCTCCCTCTCTCTAGAGTCTTGCTTCTTTAGCTAACCCTAACTTCTGGCTTCGTTCATCCTTTCTCTCTGTATGTATTTGGTGGCCATTGGGTCCTGAAATTTTGTCACTCGTCTTTTCCTTCTTGTCATTTAAGAATCGAAGTCTTGGCCTATTTTTGTAGCCCTTTTTTTCCAGGAAATTTGCTTGATTTGCTACAATCTGGCCCCCAAAAGGTAGGATCCAGCTTTTGAGCTCATTCTCTGTTGATTAATCTTGTGTTTTGATTTTATTCTTTTGATATATCTGTTTCGATTGATGAAAGTTTGTGTCTCGTCTCTTTTGGATTGAGCTCTCTCCAGTATTTGGATATTTTCCATATTACATTCTGCCAGCTTTCTTTTTCTTTTGTTAGTTACTGTTTCAAATATATATTGATGATTCCGTTGTCATTCTCCTTTTAGCTGATTCACAGTTCGAGATCATTTATAATTTTGTATTATTCTTTGTTGTTTGATTTTGTGAGCTTTGGTTTTCACGGGTTATTTTTCAATTATTCATTAATTGGGCTTCTTCTAAGTTGAACTCTGGAATCGCTACCAGATCATATTCATTGTTTGGTAAAAAATGATTCTTTTTTGTTTATAACAGCGAGTGTAGATTGTTTTGAGCTTTTATCATGAATAAGTGGATCTTGTTAAAATCTTGAATCGATTCCTTTAGTTTTCTTCACTGTTGCATCACAATAACCTTCTTTTGGTTTCATTGTCAAATTCACTATGTTTTGGAAAAATCAGTTGGATGTTTGGTAATATGGTGGTAATTTTGAAGCAAAACCAATTTCTAGTGTCAGGTAATTAATTGGCTTAAGGGAAAACATTTCATCTGCCCAAGGGCAGACTGCCATAGTGGTCTACCTCTCCCCATTTTTAGGGCTTTAGGTGCATTTGTTTTGGTGTATTTCTGCATTAGGGAAGTACTAGGAGTTATTTCAAAATGATATCTTTTCAAATTATAGTGTTTTGAATGTGAAACTGGATACTATCTATTATTATGGAGAGAGAAGTAGATGGGTTTAGTCCCACATTGAAGAATAGAGGAGTATAAGTCATGTGTAAGTATGACCATCTTCAATTGTGTTCTATGAACCAAGGGGAGAGAAGGCTCATGCAGAACATTCAAAGCATGCAACGCGTATGCTCATCATGCGAGCGTGAAGGGGGCTCTTAAAGTGCATTTTGCACTTTGCATGCTTGGATCTGTGCAGAGGCGATGAGGGTTGTGGTTGTGGCTCGCTTTTCTTGCTGCATTTGGGATTGCTGAGTGGCTTCTGTACCGCTGACCAAGTTGCATCGCATCAATGCAGCGTTTCACGGCAATGTTGTGATAGCTATAGGCGCTCACAACAATATTGCTAGTCGGAGTCACAACTTTGCAAGAGATATGTGTTGCTTCAATGTCGGCTCGTGAAATTGTAATCCATTTGGTGTGTGGCAGTAATGACTGAGTGACATCTATGTGATGTTGTAAGTCAAGTTAAGAGCCACAACTCAACATTCAGTTGTAATCACTAAGGTCATGGTGATCAGTTACCAAACCTGAAACTGCAGTTTCTCTCTCTATAGATTACATATGGTTCTCACGTTCAAACACTGCTGTTGGCACAAAGTTTACTGCCAGCAAAATCTCATTTTGCATATTCTCTCTTTAAAATAAAGGCTATTTTGATGCTGTAGATCTTGCTATACCTGTACATTTTTACAAGTTGTTCTATATTTTGTTTCTATGTATCTCGAGGACAAATTTACCTAGAGAACCTAGATGCACACTAATTCAAGAGGGCAAAGTGTTGACGCATGCATGGAAGTTGAAAGATCTGGAGTTCTTGAAAGTTTTTTAAGTGTCTGTCAACCTATTAACTTTTTACCCCAGTTTCACCCATCATATCCAGCATGTTTTCTCCAAATTTGGCATAGTCGTTCGCTTGGACTGATGAAGAAGAGTATGGAAAGAGATCATGAAAAAAAACCCAAAAAATGGTCTTTTTGAACATTGTGAATGTAGGCCATCCATTTCATGGGTGACAAGATCTAGCCCTTTAAAAACTCAAAATGAATTTTTTTTTTTTAATTGTTCATCCATAGATGATGAGGCAATGTACAAAGTTTGGGGTTAAACAAATTCCCCTTTTGCCTTTGCTAACATCATTGTTTCTTTTCTTTCACAAAATGGATGACCCATATTCACTGCATGTTCTCTATCATAAAAAAATAAGAAAAGAAAAGTATTGTGTGTTTTCTTTTCAAAATTTTAGGCAAGTTCTTCTCTGGGTCCAAAGGAATGTGTGTGCCAAATTTGGTGCGAAACGGATGCCCATAAGGTCTCCAAAATGGGGAAGGGTGGCCAACTTCCGTTACTGAAAATTAAAAGACTTCTCCTTTCTTGTCGGGGCATGGGCTTTCATTCCTTGAAACCATTAGTGTTCTTCATTTTCAGACTAATAGAAAGTAAAACTTCTTTTGATGTAGGACCAAATCCCTTGGCTCCTATACAAGTGACAATAAGGGTAAAAGATGGAGGTTTAGGGTGGAGAATGTTAGTATGAGGGTAGGGTTCTGGTTTGGAAGGTTTTGGGAGATAAGTATAAACTTTGAATAGGGGTTCTCTAAGTGGGGTTTAAAGTAGAGTTTTGGTATTTTTAGAACTAGGTTGGAGAAGTTTTTATATGGCTGCTAAGGTAGAGAATCTTGCTGGATTTGCCAGTCAGCAGCAAGTTTCTGGTTATTTTCAGGAAGAGCTCTTGGGAATAGAGGATATACTCTTATAGAAGGAGGGCGAGGTCATTGTAGCGTTCAAACTTGGAATGGTTTTAAAGTGCAGGAGTGAGTGGAGAGTTGTGGAATGGTTCCTTAGTCTCAGAGGATATGGTATGTCATGGGAGAATTATCTGAGGCTAAGAATGGGCTGAAGACAATTAATAGGAAGTTTGGGGTTCATGAAAAGGAGTTCTTCCTGGATTTTATGGGTCCATCAAACAGAAGATGGGGTTTAAGGGTATAAAATATGTTTTCCAAGTGTTGGATTGGGTTATGGTATATGCTATAGGGTATTCAGGATATGAACTAAATTGGATGTTTCAAAGGGATCAATTGGGTTACATGATGGTTGATATTTTGCTGTATGTCTCAAGCCAGTGACTATTTAATAGAGAGAGTAAGATGTTAAATGGAAAAAGAGAGCTTGAGAAGAGGGATTAGTAGGTCCTGGTTTTATGAGTAAACTAGGGCTTGGGATGTTGAATGGTTACGGAAAGGAACAAATAGAGATGCTAGAGAGGGAAGTATAGAGTGGCATTAAGAGAATGGTAGAAGATGGCGAAGAAGATGAGGTACCTGGAGTTAGAGGATCTTGATTGCGCTAAGAATCAACACTTAACAAGATAAGAAATAATAGGTTCCACGCTTTGAAAGAGCGGGGTCAGCACCTCGCATTGGAATCAAGACAAATAATGGACAAATATCCCATTTTTATTTATTCTATGCAACGAATCCGTCCTAGGGCCCTACATGTTCTTGCCTAACTTGAACCCAAAGTAATACTAAACCTCTCCCAATCTTCAGTAAATCTTCCTTTCCAAAACACAAGCATCTAGGTTCCTTTATGATATTTAGATTCTTGCTCTTGCTAAAATATCAGAAAGTACCCCAAGAAAAAAGAAAACTAGCAAGGAGTTCACTCTAGGCACTCTTCGTCAGGGTGCTTAGGTGCCATAACATGATGTCTAGAGTTCCATTCCTACTAGGTCTCAATACAAATGGAAGAAACGACCAAGTCGGAGTGAATATTAAAAAACAAAGAAAGGGCAACGTATCAAAATACTCATTAGAGATGAAATATTTAACATTTTACCCATTTGCCACTATTTCAATACAAGAACATGTGTTTTTTGATCTTTATTTTGAAAATAAATCAAAAGATATGATCAAAGAGTTAAATTGTTGTTCTCTCATGGGTAATTTGATAAATTTCCCAGAAAGAAAGCAACCTAGTAAAAACTTTTAAGTACTTACTAAAGAAGATTTTAACATACTAATTTATTTAACTTATCCGTTTTATGGAGGTTGGCCCTAGGTCTAATCCTACGTTTTATGGTTGTGGCTTCACCTGAGGGCCCACATTTGGCACGCCACCCTAGGTTGTCTGCCATCATTTTCCTATTGAGCCTTTTCGTTTTTGTGAATTGGACTTGCACAATTGAGTGAGAAGTTGAATTTTAACTTTGTATATACAAATTTTATTAGTTTAATATTTGGCCCTTTTCATTAGTAACTGTTTAATATTTGAGTGTGTGTGAAACGGCCAAAATCATCAACATTATTTTACTTCGAGGTGATGGATTATGGAGAAACGTATCTTGCATCACCTTGCAAGATCTTGGTTAGGGATTATTCATAGGAAGTCTGCCATCATTCTTCGTGTTTTACCTCATGTTTTTGGTGAATTTGGCTTGTATCAACAGAGTGGGAAGCCAAAATTTAACTTTCTATATTAGTTTGCCCTTTGCAGTTTTTGTTTTGTAAAGTTTCCTATTTGACCTTTTCCATTAGTAATTTCTTTTTTGGTGAGTTTGTTTGAAGCAGCCAAATCATTAACACGTTTTGCTTCAAGGTGATAGAATATGGAGAAACCTATCCTTTATCACCTTGGAAGATCTTGGTCAGGGTTTATTCATATAGACTTTCTTCTGATAGGGTTTAATTATTGTTTGGTTATAGAAAAGCGTATCAATTCTTAAATACATTTGGGCTCTATGATGGTCGATGTTAATGGATCTGCTACTTGGGATCATAACCAATTTTATTGTTTCTATTGAACTTTCTCTAAATTCCAATTAGACAATACCTACTTCTTGTATTTGAACATGCAAATTCAGGATGCTTCCCAAATGACAAAAAAATCCCATAGGTGTAAAACTTGACTTTCGAGGATCTCATTGGTGTAAAGCTCAAATCTAAAGACCATAATGGGGTCAAATCATCTGTTACGTTGGAAAATTCAGCTTAATTCCATGGTTTTTCTGTTCTTTTTTCCTTTACATTTTTTTCTGGGAACGGGGGTGGAATTAGTTTCTGTTGCAGCAGAGGGTGTGGTGACGAAAAACTTACTTGTTTGCTTCCCACATCTAGATAGATTAGCTTTAGCTTTTGAAAAAATGGTTAGGGAGTGTACAAAGAGGACGAGATGTATTAGTAGGGACCTGGGGAATGAAAAGATTTGAGGAGGTGGCTCTTGGAACACCTTGAAAGGTCATTTTTTTGACAGATGACCTGATGTGAGACTGTTGAAGTAGAATGGTGCAGGTCTCTTTTCACTTAAATCGTTGCTTTGATGCTTTTGAAGGTGGAGGTTGGAGGGAGGCTTCATTTCTTCTCCTTTGGGTATTCGAGCTCATGCGTGGTCTATCCCTTGGTATCATTGCCGCATCTGTGTGGCTACGTGGTGTGAAAATGATACATGTGGACCTAAATTTACCTTGTCTGCATATGATACTCAAGCAAAATAGAGGCAAAACCCTCCGAATGGATCTTATTATTGGTTGTCTTATGTTTGTTCTCCGGTCATTTGGTTTTAGTGGTTGATTTCCTCATTGTCATTCAATGAGCATGGGAGAGGCATGTTTCCATGAAGAGCATTTAATATTCTTTAATGATTGCCGACCCCAAATAGTTGGGATAAGGCTGGGATAATGATGATGATGATGATGATGATTGCTATGAAGAAAAACTAATATTGTGGAAGAGATTTTCAGGAATGTGGATGGGGCTTTATGCCCATTTACTTAAGCCAAGTGTATGGGCTTCCTTGCTCAAGAGGGAGTTAGGATGGATATCCTCTCCATTAAAATCAATTTGATGTCCACATGATCTTTGCCTCTTTGGGCATGCTCCCCTGGCTCCCCTGGTTGCTTCCCCTATGTGCATTATTAGGTTTATTACCATTATGCCTAAACTTGCAGTCCATATACTATGTCAAATGAGCTGGACAAAGATAGAGTACATGGAATGATAGGAGTTGAGACGGGGAAGTAGTTAAGATAGAATTATAGTTGGGTAGGCAAAATGGAGATGTTCAACTGGAGTTTTATGTGATTGCCATATACCAATAAAGTTGAAGGGCAAGTTCTATACGACGGCTGTGAGACCAGCTTTACTTTATGGGGCGGAATGTTGGGCGGTCAAAAATCAACATAGCCATAGAGTGAGTGTAGCTGAGATGAGGATGTCGAGATGGATGAGGGGCAAGACAAGAAGGGGTAGATTTCGAAATGAATACATTCAGGAGAATTTAGGTGTAGCACCAATAGGTGAGAAGATGAGAGATAGTAGCCTTAGGTGGGCCATGTGGTGCATACCCAGTATAACACTTGTTAGTTTTTTTTAATAATAAAGTTAATTTAGGACGTGCGAGTTAGTTTAAGTGGAAGGCTCAAAAAGGGCAAGGGACATGGTTGGAAGTAGTGAAAAAATATATGGGGACTCATAGCCTCATTGAGGGCATGACCCTTGATAGAGCAGAATGACGAACTAAGATTCGTGGAGCCGACCTAATGAGATGAAAAAGGCTTTGATGATGATGATAATGATGGCCTCACTGAGGGCATGGCTCTAATAGAGCAGAATGGCGAACCAAAATTTATGTAGCCGCCCCCAATTTGTTGGGAAAAGGCTTTGATGATGATGATGACCATTATGTCAATTGTAAGAGACAAATAAGGATATATCCTTGAAGTTCAAATTTCAAAATAAGGTCAGATCTCCACCAATGGACAAGAATCACACCATCCTAAAAATCTTTGCATTGAAGGATAAACGCTATTCCAGTAATCACTTAAAAGGTGTATAAAAGGGGGGTCTAGTTTTTTAAGTCAAATTTCTCAAAAAGAAGAAAGGTCTTGTTTCTTAAAAATTAGATTTTCGGGGACAAACCTAATTTAAATATATATGAAAAGAAACTATCAATATAATTGTGATGTGAAGAATTGATAGTGCACCTTTGGGTTTAGTTTGTATTCTCGTGAGTCCAATCAGATTCATAGGATTAACTCTATGATATGAACACTGATGCGGTCTTTGTGTTTATAATCTTCTTAATTTGCTCAAAGATATGATTTGAGAAAACAGAATTTTGAATATTTAGAATTTTGCAAATCTGGATGCAAGCATTGCTTGCCTGTCATATATCTAGATTATATATTATCTGAATTTGTGTTTTTTATGTTTGTATAGCATGCTACCTGTATTTTAGAATTTCATAAATTTGAAAATTTTCATTGTTTGGCTCATAAATTCATAATTTTTGGTTTTTTCTTTGAAGGCATATGTTAGATTTGTATGTAGCTTGTACTCTCTCTCTCTCTCTCAATATTGATTCCCATGTATCGAAACTAAAGATTGGTCGTGCACCAGTGAGTGGATGATACCTCTGTTGACCAAAGACGATGAAAGCGTTATAGAGAGAGATGCCAATATGCAATCCCTTAAGATTGCGTGATGGAGAAACACTAACTTGCAAGTTAACGATTCTCTGTATCGCTTAAAATTCAGATTGAACTTTTTTTTTGTAATGAGATTTAAGAATATTATTCAAATTTGTTTTTTTGCCATGGTTTGGTGCCATCAAATGCATTTCTCAGCATATTAGATTATGAAAAGTTTTAAATCTTGTGAGATCTTGAAATAGCAAGATATTCAAGGGTATCCAACATATCCTAGAATTTTATTTAAAAGCAATGCTTTTGAAACTTGAAGACATGGATGGGAATTGAAATACGACAGATTCAAATTCCGTTAATTTCTAAGGCATGCATTTTTCTTTCTTGTTTTTTGAAAATGATCTTGAACCTAACAGGCAGATCTCTGTCTTAGGGATTGACAAGTCAAAGGTTCCGTTTCAGCTTTATATTTGAAGGCTAATATGTGATCTTGATTGCCTGATCCTAGAGCTACAGACTTATCTAGCAAGGTGCTCATTTTTGGAATATTTATTTCCTTTTGTAACTGGTAATATGCAATGTTCTGACTTTGTACTTGGCTCAAAATCCTAAATAACGATAGTATGCTTTCTGTAGGAGTAAGTATGTTGTGCTTAACAGTTCCATAGTATGTGATTAAGGACATGGGCACTTAGTTTTGCTCAGACAGCATTCTGTCACGGCCTCTCAGTCTCTAGTAGACCCCTCATATAAGATCTTTCGAGCTTCAATTTCATGGTAGTTCCTTTGGAAAATTCTGAAATTGGTGGTGTAACGGATTCGTTAGGAATGTCTGCAAAATGTTATTCTATCTTGTTAGTGTTGGATCCTCAACTCCCCAGAAGTGCTTTTATGAAATGTCTGTGATTAGCATTCTTTTGAGTATTCTTGGGTCGACTTTTGGTTGAGGGGAGACTCTTAGCATTATTATATGGTCCACTCAACAACTGCATGAACTGGAGTTCTTAATGTGGTCTGATTCAACAAATTTCTTCATCTGATGTTGACTTATGAAGAATGGTTTACTATCATTCTTGTGTTCATCTCACTCCTGTAGACACGGATATCATCCGCAATATCATTCTTTGGAGGAGCAAACATTTTGAACTCATTAAATGTTATATGTTCTAGAAAGAAAAATTCTTTTTGTTCAGAGATAGTAACAGCTATAACCTTAATGATCATCTGATTATCCCACAAAAATAAGTGCTTTGTTCTAAGGATCATGTTTATTCCTAAGGCTAATATCAATATGGACATAGAACCAACATCTTAAAACTTGTTCAAGATAGAATAGTCAGAAGTTCTTCCAAGTAGTGTATTGTATGTAGATTTTCCATCCAATACATTAGTTAGAAGTCCATTTATCAAGAAGGTACTTGTAAGGTAAAATACAACAAACTATATTTAAGAGATGAAAGAGTATGAGAGTTTAAAATCTAGAAAGAGAGAAAGTTAGAGAGAGAGGGATGAGAGAGAGAGTTATGTGAGGAAGAAGAAGAGGATAGAAGGGTCACGGTTTAGTCGTACTGACCCACACACCCCACTTATGTTCTCTTATACTAATATTACAGTCTAAAGTACAAAATTGCGCTTAAATAAAAGACGAGACAAAGAATGCCTCTTGCTCAAGTTGGTGCATAAATATCTGTCATGTCCAAGTTGCTTAAGATCATTTGTAGTTGAGGTTTCCCAACAACCTTGGTAAGAAGGTCTTTTAGGTGGTCTTCTATTTTAACATATGGTAACAAATTTCATTGATAGTAACCCTCCCTCAAATAAAATGCTAATCTACTTCTATGTGCTTAATTCTGTCATGTTGAATCACATTATGAGCTATACTAATTGTTGCCTTGTTATCACAGCAAAAGGACATGGACCTTTACACTGAAAAACCAAGTTCTTATAAAAGGATTTTTAGTTAGAGTAATTCACTTGTACCATGAGCCATGAATCTATACTCATCTTCTGCACTTGGTCTTGCTACAACTGACTACTTTTTACTCCTCCAAATAGCAAGGTTTCCTCCAACAAAAGTACAATACCTTGATGTCGATCTTCGATCCATAACAGTGTCAGACTAGTTTGCATCTGTATAGGCCTCAACTCATAAATACCCATGATTAGCAAATAGCATTCCTCCCCTGGTGATGATTTTACGTACCTGAGGACTATCATAGCAGCCATTAACCTTTGAAACATTGCCACATCCTTGAGAGCTTCATCCTTTTGGGCATCAAGCTTGTGATTTTGTTCTATCAATGTGTCAGTTGGTTTAGCCCGGCAAGCACAATAGTTTTATGTGCTTAAGTTGAATTCCTTCGAGGGATGAAAGTTCCTCTTTTAGACCTCACCACTTCTATTCCAAGAAAGAACTTCAATGGACCTAGATCTTTGATTTCAAATTCTCTAGCCAGAAAATTCTTAATTTGTTGAATTTCCTTAGGACAATCACCAGTTATAACAATATCATCTACATATACAATTTGGACAATGGCGCTGGTCTTTGTATTGCTTGATAAAAAAAGTATGGTCAGTTTGACTTCAAAGTGTAGCTGATTCTTTCAACAGTACCATTGAACCTCTCAAGCGAAACTCAAGGAGACTACTTTAGTTTATAGATGGCCTTTCTCAGTCTACAAACTCTTCCTTCACATCTAGGGGCGCAAAATCCAGGTGGAGTTACCATGTGCGCTTATTCTAGTAAATTCCCTACAAAGGAATGCATTCTTGACATCCATTTGATGCAATGGCCATTCCAAGTTAGTTGCCAGAGGCAAAAGTACCTGAATTGGAATTCATTGTAGCCACAGGAGCAAATATTTCCTAGTAGTCCATTCCATAGGTCTTAATAAACCCTTCAACTAATCTTACATTGTATATGTTAACCGTACCATCAGCCATGTACTTCACATTGTAGACCCATTTGCAGCAAACCAACTTCTTCCCTTCTGAAGGCTCAACCGGTTTCCAAGTATTATGCTTAAGTAATACTTCCATTTCCTCACACATAGCCTCGTGCCATTTAGGATGAGCTAAGACCTCTATAACATCGGAAGGAAATAGAAACATGAAACAAATAGGGAGTATAGAGGTCTTAGCTTGTCCTAAAAGGCATGAGGCTATGTGTGAGGAGATGGGAGCATTTCTTGAGCATAATACTTGGGAACTGGTTGACCCTTCAGAAGGGAAGAAGTTGGTTTGCTGCAAATGGGTATACAATGTGAAGTCCATGGCTGATGGTACGGTTAACATATACAATGTGAGATTGGTGGCTGAAGGGTTTATTAAGACCTATGGAATTGACAAATAGAAACATAAGACCTCTAAAACATCGGAAGTACCTTAGTTTTAGTATCAAATAAAGTATGGTTCATCTTATCAAACCTTGAAAATATTAGGAACCTCATCTTTGGTCTTCATAAGATGGATCTATGTACACCGAGAATAATCATCCACAAAAGAAACAAAATCCTGATAACTACAGCTAGAAGTCATAGGAGATGAACCCAACAAATCAGAATGGACAATAGAAAAAGGAAAAAGGAACAATTCTTTTATTATTATGGGTAAAAAGGAGTTCCTACAATATTTTGATAGTTCACAGACTTCGCATTGGAGGTCTGATACAATAGTAGAAGTAAATAACTTAAGAAATAAAATTGTCAATGACTGAAAAGAGAAATGACCAAGTCAGAGATGCCACTGCCAAATCCAATCTTGATTAACACCATTGCTGGACTGAAGAGCTTGAGGAGTAGTAGGAAGTCAAGAATATAGAGACGACCTGCTTCATGACAACTGTCAACCATCTTCCTTGTAGCCAAGTCCTGAAAGCACACTACGAAGAAAGTTACAACATAATTTTTACTTTTGGGAATGCTACTGATAGACATTAAGTTTGTAGCAAAGCTAGGAACATGAAGAACTAATATCAAAGACAATTGAGGGGAATATGTACATTTCCTTTCTCAGCAATGGTAGAAGAAGATCCATCAATAATTCTAACTTTCTCTCTACCAGGACAAAGAAAGTGAGAAGTATACCAGGGAGACGTATCAGTGTATCATCCAGGACTATCCAAACAGATAAAGAGAGACATGATTAACTTAAGCATGAATATCTGAGTGGCAACGGATGATGTAGATGTAGTAAATGGGCCATCTAAGATGTAGTAAATGGGCCATCTAACCATGCAAAACAACCAAGAAAGGCTCTTAATTTTATCCTTAGGTGATATTAAATTTTTTTGGGCAGAACATAAGGGTTGAGCTGCATAGTGTTTGATCTGCATTAGTAGTTGCTGCACAAGGGTTGAGCTGCATTGGGTTGTGTTTGATCTGCATTAATAATTGCTAAACCACTGGTGGATGAATCATTGTGTGCATTGAATTATCCAGGACGATTGAATTTTGTTGGTCAACTAACTAAATCCCAACGAATCAACGATTCTCTTCAATGTGACCACGTCTATCACAATGATGACACTTCAGTTTACTTTTACCTCCTTGATTGGAACCCCCTTTGCCAATTTTTTGAGATCCACCCCCTTTATTGTTCCTAGGAGGTCATGAGGCTCAGACAACAGCAGAACGACCCATTGGTTGTGTAGGTAGTGTGACACTCTTTCCACTTTCCTCACTCTGGATAAAGGAATCCACTTGGTTGAGGGATGGAAGGTTATCCTAACTGAGGATCTGAATCCTAGCTAACTTAAACTAAGGGTTCAATCTATTTAGAAATTCAAAGATACGATTTTGTTCCATGAACTCCTTGTATTTATCCCCATCTTCTTTGCAGGCAGGTTTAAACATCTGATAATGATACAATCGTCCCATAGGCTGCAAACTGTAGAGAAATTTGCTGCCAAATGCAACTCCCTTGTCGAAGATCTGATACTTAATTGCCCAAGTTCGTACACCCGGGACACATTATTGCTTTGGGAGTAAATTTGGTGTAGTGAATCCCAAATCTCTTTGCAATCTGAAAAAATTGGAAACCCCTACTAATCAAAGGTAGTATTGAGTGCAACAACCAAGATATAATAGCCAAATTTTCAGTCTCGCACTTCTCATGTGAGGGATCTGTATCTTCAGGTTCAATAATTTTTCCATTGATATATCCCAACTTCCCTCTTCAACCAATATTCCTTTTAAGTAGACTGTGGCCATTTCAGATAATTTGTCCCATCAAGTTTCACAGTTGTAATTTGCAGCCCAGGGATACCCATGTGAGAGGTTACACCTAGAGTATAAGAGGTGTCATATCAGCCACCATACAGCTTATACATACCAGAAAACACTCATTGATTAACACAAACAGCCACTTGACTGACACTGATTAGCACAATCAGCCACTCAACTTCACTCTACAGAGATTTGGGAGATCTTGATAAAATATGTGCCTTACTACTCATGACCAGGGATGCGATGTATGATACGAGTCCAACAACCAATTTTGAAACACCAAAATGTCCCAATCAATTTAGGGTTTTCGGTTCAACATCACAAACTCTACACTAATAGAAAGCAACCAAGAAACTAGGGTTTGATGCACCATACCAATTTTTAAATCTGAGTTTCGATCCACACTAACCAGATCTAGGGATCACCATTAGTTTCTAGATCTCGTTTTTCTAGGGCTAAGGTTCGATCCAAACCAACCGGTTCTAGGACTTTCGATCCACGCCAACCAGAACTAGGTTTCTACCTCCATTAGTTATGGGATCTAGGTTTTCGACTCACATATAAACAAAGCATGGGAAGAAGGGAACCATATATTAGGGGTTTTCCAATGCATAACTGATTTTCCAGGATTGGGGTTTTTGACCCTGCGGCTATTGGAGACCTTCGCATGGTTAGCACATCATTAGGGTTTCAAACAAATATCTTGAAGTGTCCTGCCTTGATACCATGATAAAATACAAAAACTAATAAGTGATGATAAGAGAGGTTAAGAACTAGAAAGAGAGAGAGATGACAGAGAGCCATGTGACGAAGAAGGGGAGAGAATGTTCACGGTTCAGTCCTATTGACCCCCACACGCTACTTATGTTCTTTTACACTAACAATAAAAAGTCTAACGATCAAAACAGCCCTTAAATAAGCGAAACACAAATAAGTCCTTAGCGACTTAAATACAAGAAAAAATAAATTTACAGCTTAGGTATTTACAGCATTTTTTGGAAAGTGTCAGTTCATAACCCAACTTCATTTAGCTGTCTATGTTTCCTTTCTATCATTCAATTCTGCTGTTGTGTACAAGGACAAGAAATTTTGTTGCTTTATTCCATTGTCCCTCAAGAAATTTTTAAACATTTGGATGAATACTCTCTCCCTCCATCAACATGAAAGTCCAAAATTTTATTACGAAAGTGCTTCCGAACAAACACCTTGAAATATTCAAATGTCTCAAAATGCGAGACTTTTTATTAAGAGAACAAATACCATAAAGTAAAGATAATTGGAGGAGATACATTTGGCGCTAGAGCCCATACATCAGCGCACACTAACTCAAAAGGAGAAGAAGCTCTTTTATTATTAGAAACAAATGGCAACTTAACATGTTTTCCCAGTTGACAACCATGACAGATGAACTCACTAGGACAATTATTATTGAAGGAAGCAAGTCCTTGTTTACAGAACTTATTTAAAGACTCCAGACTACAATAACCCAACCCATGATCCCACACATTGTTATCCTTAATAACATGATAATACATGACCAGAGTTTTGAACTTCTTCAACCCATCATCAATTGTACAACTCTCCACGCAATCAATCCTCAATCCTTACAGTTATCAGCATCAAAAAAAAAAAAAAAAAAAATCATCGATCCTTGACAAGCCAATCATCATTTCAGGTTTCTCTCTTTCCTTTTGCACTCACTTCCTCTTTGGTGATAATCTGTGGTGGTGCCTCGCACAATCCATCACTGTGACCCATCATGCATAGGCTTCTGATGAAAGGAATTATAATTCCTTTTATACAACGAAATTGGAAGAATAGAGCTTGATGCTAACTTTTGAGAAAGGAATAATGGGGAGACTAGAAGATTCCTTGGGGTCAAATGAGTGGAAGATGATGGAAATATTTTTTTCTCTTTTTGAAAGAAAGGGAATATATTGGTCAAGCACTAAGAGTAATTAGTGTTTGCTGTTCATGTGAACAATAACTAGGATTTACTGTTCATATTAAAATAAAAAATTTAGGGTTAAGAAGAGATTTAGGGTTAAGAGAGGTATCTAAGGTTTTATGCCAAGGATTTCTTGCCAAAGGAATAGAAGAGGTTTAGGGTAAAGAATGTTAATTTCAAATATGTTTCAAAACAACTCCATTTTGTAAAACTTTGTATAGACCTTTTTATCTTGTTGTCATGATGGAGATGTTGTTTTTGTGGTAATAAGACCATTATGTGTCAATCCAACTTCTTGACTTGGTCCATAATGTGCACACCCCAGTTTGTTCCTCTTTTTAGTTATGTATGAGCTTCATTTATTATGGGCTTACAAATCATAACTTTTAAGGTGTCATGTAAGTTATCTGAAGTGACATCTTACCCCTTGCTTTGATGACACATGGATGGTTGTGTTACCATCATCATCCCATATTTAAAGCTCGCCGTTTATATTAGAGAGAGCCATTTTTTTTTGTCTTTGAACAAAAAAGCACACCCTGTCTCTTACTCTCACCTGATTTCGGGGTACACCGTGCACTCTCTCTCTTCATAAAGAGATTTTAACGAACTCTTCAAGATGATGATGCTTCATGTAATGGAGAATATTTCTATGCGTGCCATGTCACTTGCAATACCTAATCTTGAGATTTTATTCTTTCGTGGATGTTTTTCAGGTAACTGGTATAGTTATTGTCACAGTCTTTTTATCATTAAAGTGTTCAATGTGATAGAAAAAAGAAAATATTCTCAGTGTTGCGAGAATTTGTCTCTCGTACATGTGTTAGTCAGATATACAAATTAGTATCTGGTTCTGTGGTTTTATATGAGTCTTTTGAGTATGGAACTTAGAGACTTTGGAAGCATAGTCTTGATCTGGTTGTAATTTTGGAATGTACTTGTTGAGACTGATTGCATCGCGGAATTTTTTACCGAAGCAAGGGCATTTAAGACTTTGAAGTAAGTGAGTCCATCTTGTGCCTCCAGATTTATTGATACATTATTGTATTTATTTTGATTCTCTCTCTCCCTATTAATCCTAACATGGACCTATTCCCTCAAGGGTTAACTGGAAGAGTTTTCTTACTAACTCCGTACCCAGACCTAATCCCTCAGGGGTTAATTGGCAGTAGTATTCTTAGAAACTCCGAACCTGGACCTAATCCGGTAGCGGCTAACTAGAATTAGGAATATCTCTAAGATCCATACAAAAACTTCACTCTAGTTAAGGGGAGATTTTGCCAAAATTTTGTTACAAGGGAGTCAAGAAAACCAGCAAAGAATTTAGGGGAAAAAAGAGATTTAGGGAAAAGAAGAGGAGCGTAAGGGGACAGATATAGGGTTTCACGCCTATATAGACAATAACATTATCAATCTAAATAATAATTGACAAAGAAAAGAGATAAGAGAGATTTTGATACCTTTGATTAATGAGTCACGCTAATTGTTGAACATTGCTATGATGATTGTCAAATTCATCATTAGAGCCTTATCCCAACTATTTAGGGTCGACCACACGAATCTTGTTTCGCCATTTGGCTCTATTAAGGGCCATACCCTCCATCAGACCATAACTTTTTTTTTTGAGTAAGTTAACTCAATCAGACCATAGTTAATGTATCTTTTTTCACTACTTCCATCTTTGTCCTTTGGGGCCTATCCCATGCTCTTTTAGAGCCTTCCACTTAAACCAAATCACCCCTCCAAACCTGTGTTATTCTAGGTTGACGTTGTACATGACCAGACGACCTAAGTTTACTTTCTCTCATTTTATCGCCTATTGGAGCTACCCTAAGTTCTTTCGAATTCTATCCTTGTCTTGTCACTTATCTATCTCGACATCCTCATCTCAGCTACACTCATTCTATGGATATGTTCTTTCTTGACTGTCCAACATTCCATCCCATAAAATAGCTTAAAGAATAGCTGGTCTTACAACCGTCCTATAGAACCTCCCCTCCAGTTTTGGTATGCAACGAAGCATGTTGAAACTTGGTATGATACCATGTTAAAATATCATTTGGAATACTTGAGAGGGTGGAACAAGTTGTAGTACAGGTAGAGATGGATGGTGAGGAAGCCAAAAGAAGAATGACATGACCCCTAATTCCTCCATAAGTGCGGGGCTGCACTCAAACATATATATTTATATTGTTTCTAACCCTAAGTAGTTGAGGGTTACAAATAAATCCAGAAATTACATATTTTTCCTTTACAATGAACACTAACTGCAAATACAAGAATAAGTTACAACAGCAGATAAAATTACCAATATACCCCTGGGCAGTTATGGTTAACAGATATGTATCACAACACTTGAGATATTAGGGCTTAGAACCTCTCAAGAGCTGACCTCTTTTTAGACCTTAGGCTACCCACTTAATTTGAGTATATGCTATTGGGTCTGAGAGCAAAGATTAATACCTCACATGAGTTTCGTATGTGTCATAGGAGTTTGAATCTTATTTATGTGAAACCTTTGCTATTCTGTCTATTTTCCTGTGATATATACTTCACCCAAGACCTTGTGCATGATTAAATGCTAGGCTTTCTGATTACAGCTTCGGAATACGTTATCTAAGTCTTATGTATTTCAATAACATTGTAGAGTTCTTTGCTATACTTTTCCAATCCCAGCTGATAATTTCTTTGGGTGCGAAGTTTTGTGTACCTTATTATCATTGTACAATATGGTTGCTGATATGCTTGCGAAGAAAGCTACCTCCATATCTGCTACTGCAGTTTGGAGGGCCTGGCCCCAAGATTTTCTTACTTTGCCAACTTCTTATGATGAAGCATGAGTGCCCTATTAAAGGGTTGTAATTTGACAAGCTTGTATTTCTCTAGTTTTGGCTAATGAAATTAGAAATCAGGTACGGGAACTTCTCCCTCACTGACTTACCCAAGAACAAATCAATGTTTTACAATCTTATATGCTTTTGATATGGCTTTTTAGTTCCAACTGCTAGTTTCTTCTGCTGAAAACATCGGGAGCCTTATTGTGTTCTGTGAGTTGATGCAGCCTCATACTTCTGCATAAGTCATGTTTGAAAAAAAAAGAAGTTTTTATGCGCTCAAAGCTCATCATGGTTGTCTCTACTTGTATGTCATTATGTTGAATCATCTGGAAATTCTCCTGTTTCTTGTGTCTGGTAGTGTACTAATTCACCTTTTGTTGGGTGCTACGAGGATTGCTAATTGTACATGCATTTTTGTGATATATTAATTCCTGCTCTCCATATTTATTGTTGTCATTGATGAGGAACCTCTGTGTTTTGTGGTTCAGGCGTGCATGTCTTCTATGTACTGGGAACTGGACCTTTATAATTGATAAAGCTTCTTTTCACTCTGGCCGCTGCAAGAAAAACACAGTCTTCTCGCACCTCTAACCAGGTGTGGGTTTGCCATGAGGGATTAGTCAAACTATGTTCATCGCAGGCATCTGAATCAGCTCAACTTTGGAGATTGTGGCATATCTTGAAGGCCTTGCCCCTTGATTATGGCTAAGATCGGTTGAGTGAAGAACAACTAGCATTACATAGTGCCTCTGTCTGCTAATTGTCTCTAGATTAGATCTGTACGTTGCATTTGTTAACTAGTGGTAGACCAACAAAAAACCTGCAAAATGTGACTTCAACAAAAGCAAATAAGAAGAAGAACTGCTACATGTGACTGTATTTCTGCCAATTTCCTAGACAGCAAGATGGTTAAGTTCTCCTGCTTCTCATCTTCCCTCCATTACAGCAGATCAAAGGTATTGTGTGTACTCTTATTGTTTGCGACTTATTACTTTTAACATGAATCATTGTTTTGAGTGTTCCATGTAATTAACTAAATCTTGCAAGTGGTTGATTTTCTTCAATAGTTGCTGGGATTTCCCAACCTAGGTGGAAATCCCACTCTGGAATCTCTCTTCGGTACTCTGGCAAAGGGATCTTTAAGGGGTCTTGATTTTGAATTTAGGGATCTAAATCCCCACTATTAAGGATCCCGATCCCCAACCTTAAAGATCAAGATAACTACCAAGCTGAGGATTTTCTTTATTTATCGCCAGCTTGCAACACAATTATATTTTTAATATAGTTGCATTATCCAATGGCTATAAATAAAGAAATACCTACTTAAAGAGTATATATAGTCCTAAGCTATGTATAATCTTTAAAGTTGAGCCCCAAAAGGTTAGGATCAGATCCTCTAAGTTCGGGACCGAGATCCCTAAAATTTTGGTCTCGATATACCTAACATGTGTATTTTATGGACGTTGCTTCAACTATAAGGACCTTTTGGTCTTTTACGATCTGCCACTCCAGATCCTGATCCTGCGGCTGATCCCAACGGCTATGTTTTCTTCGCTATATCTTTGCCTTTATTTCTGCAGAAACTAGGTCAACCCGTTGCAGAAACCATGCATAAAGAATCCCAGGATTGTTCCCTTAATCAAACACCCAAGGAGTCTGGTGTTTCACATGGTCGTCTTCAAATACAAGTGAAGTCCTATGATGATATTCCGTTGGAGTCTCATGGGAATAAATTTGTCCATTCATCTTCCTTTGAAATGCCAATTCACATGACCACAGAGACTTGGCTTGAAGAACACACTTTGAAATCTGAAGAACCATACTATGTTTTCAGTTCCGAAGCAAACTCTGCACGTTCCCAAGGGGGTGGTTTGAAGAAAAGTCATTCTGTGGGAAGTGGATTGGATAAAAGTAAGAGAGTTCCTTACGAAGTTGACAGAGGGTATGAACATGAGCAGGGGTTACTGGGTGATGACCCCCAAAACATGAATTTCACTGAATCATTTGTTGTTTTGGACTCGAACCTATTGGCCGCACCATTGAATCATAAGGATGCTGAGTCCAACAGAGCCGATGTTGAGTCCTACATAATAGATGTTGACCTGAAGCCTGAAGACTCTGTCACTTCCATGGCCTCTTCAAAGTCATTTGTTGGGGAGGTCCATGAAGATTTTGGTAGACAGCGATCTATCATTATTGACTCTGGAGAACATCTACCTGAAGCATCTTCTATTATCCGACATTCCCAATCATCGCCCAGCCTCAGTGGTTGTGAAGAAAGCCCAGTGAAACAGTCTATACGTACTCGCCTCTCTAGGTCTTGTGATGACCTGCGTATTCTTGCTTCAAAGAAGAATTTCTTGAGTTGTGTTAACGAAATACCTTGTGAACAGACTTATTTTGAATCTGTACAAGCATCATATTATCATAATATGTCAGAAACTGTTCACTCAGTAACAGGAGAGAAGGAGGGGCTACCTGCTGTGATAGATGTGGAAGATCCTCAGGGAATGTCAGGAAAAGATTGTGTTTTGTTCAACCAAAGTGGCAGATATTTTGGATTGTTGGATCAGGTAACAGCACATTCAACTAACACACAGAAATCTGTATATGAGAATCTGGCCAGTGATGAGCAAAATTCTGAAAACTTGAGCTCTCCAGTTAAGGATTTGATACTGGAACAAAATGTTGAGAAACAAGGGTTTCAAGAGATGCAGCATATTGAGAAGGAAAATGAAGAACTTTGCAGCTCTCCACATGAGAGACGGGCTGAGTTGTCTTCACATCAGTTGAATCTTAAGCGCGTGGAAGAATGGATCAACCAGATTGATCTTCAAAACTGTTTTTCTTTGCCGGAAACAGGGGAATGTTCTACTTCCCCCTCTAACATAAGGAAAGAATCCAGCATTGCAGTGGCTTCTGCTACCAAGATTGATTCAAGGATTTCTAGTGGGATGGAAGCAGCTAAGGGTCATATTCGTTCCTTGAATTCATCATCTACAACAGCCCAGATGCCAAATCTCGGCTTGTCTGTAATCCCATACCTTGGCATATTCGGCAGCCTAAGAGTGATAAATTTATCAGGGAATGCTATAGGTACGCATGCTTTTACTTTTTTCTTTTAAATTAGTGGAGAATTGCTGGCCCTTATATCTGTTTTAGCTTGTCGAGAATTATGGTTCTTTTTGGGTCTTTTCTGCTTTTTGTTAATGCATAAAAACTACCATTTAAAAGACCCTGATCATTCTCACTGTTTACTGGTTTGACAAATTTGCCTGTAGTGCGCATAACTACTGGGGCTTTACCTAGGGGCCTTCATACGCTTAATCTATCAAAAAATTTTATCTCCATCATTGAAGGGCTCCGTGAGCTGACTCGTCTACGTGTGCTGGACCTGAGATATAACCGGATATCCCGTATTGGACATGGTATGGCTTTTCTTTTCCTTCTCTGTAGCATATTAAATTTTGCTTTCTAATTTCGTTAGCTCCAGCTCCCAGAATATGAGTTGCAAATCTGGCTAGTTGTGATTCTGGACTAAAGATGTTTGCTTGTTCCTTATAGACACAACTTGCTTTGGATGTTAAATATCAATCTTGGTTTTTCTGTTGCAGCTTATCTTTAGCCCTTAGCCTTGGAGTGAAGTTGTCTCACCTGGAAATTTCTGGTCCTTTGTCTAAGAACTCTGGTTTCTGAGCAATACAATGGAAAATAAATTTATAATTTCTGCATGTGTAGAAAGACAAACGGAAGAGAGAGAGAGAGAGAGCGAGAGAGAGAGAGAGAGAGAGAGCGAGATATCCGGAGCACGGATGCCGCACATGAACATGACTAGTTGAAAGAAAGAAACAATTGAAAAAATATATTGTACAGCAAAGTTGCCACCAAAAACCATAACATACTAACCCATAAGGCAACTTTGTGAAACATTACCCCAAGTACTAAATTCACCACAATTTACGTCTGAAATAGAAAATAACATGTAAAAAGCAAAACAAGAAAATAATCAATGACAAACCAACTTTAAAATAACAAAAATTAGGAACAAAAAAGAAAGTCCAAGAGTAACGAAAAGTTACAGTTAGTTAACTAGAACTCAGTTAACAGAATCTAGAAAATAATCAACCAAAAATCCAAAATTTTAAATGGCATAAATGAGAGAGAGACAGAGAGACACAGAGAGAGAGCGAGAGAGAGATTATCATGAGAGGAAGTTGGACCGGGGAGGGTGTTGGTAAAGAAGATTTGGTGTGAGCTGAGAAATCATTAGCAACACGAGGTTGACTATATTTAGATCTACTTCCCAATATTATTAGTTATTGGTAATTCTGGATAGATGTTGTACCCTTAGAAATTAATGCAATGAACTACAAATTAATGGATAGTGATACATTTTTCCAGAATTGAATGCGTTGTCTTCCTTAATGTAGGGCGTGCAGTGTTATTCAGAGTTTCACTTTCACCATTTCATATATCATGTAATATGTCAATCTAATTTGTATGTCATGTTTGATAGATAAACACATTGAATTAAGCTGTCAAAATGAAAGGAAATTATGTCAAAGAGTATATAAAATATTGGGACAATTCAGTGTTCACAAGTATCCCATTCATCTCTCCTATTTTCAATCCTCAATTTGGCCATCCTGTCGCCAACAGTTGCCAACCCCTTGATGTCCGTGGTCTGTCCCTTCACACCTATATCTAGGAGTTGCAGGACCACAAAGTGGCAATCTTTTGAGTTACATTCCAAGAGTCCTCTCTATCTAATGGTAACAAACACTGCTCTCCTCTCTATCTAATGGTAACAAAAAGTGCTCTCAGGGTGACCTTTCTAGGCGTGACAACGTTTGCAACTGGAATCTTTTGCCCTTATTGATCTGGGCATGTCTCAGATACCTTTCCCTCACAGATACTATTTGAGTTGTTCAAAATCCTTTTGGTTTTGCACTGGCTTTGTTGCATCCATCAGAACTTCATGTAACATTAAGGGAGCCATTGAAAGGTGACTGGAACACCAGAAACGGGGACTACCCGAGCTAATGATAAAGGCAAGAAGACTTTCCGGCCAGGTCCCATTGATTGATCATAACGATATCATGGAAATGCTGCACGGACCCATATATATAGGAAAAGAAAGAGAATGACCCTGATACTAAACCAGATCGAGCCACAAAAGTATGTGAAGTTTCTGTTTCATATTCCTTTAAATTCTCCTACTTTAGGTTTGACGCATCCATTATTCCACAACGCTGAACACCTCAAAGGTGGCTCATCCAACCAATCATTCTAATACATCTTGCTTGTCCTTGCATATGATATTTTCCTTTCCATGGGTATCTCGTTTTAAAATACGCTTATTCCTTCTCTTTATAGAAATTTTGAATGGAGTAGAACCACTATCTAATATAATGTAATAATTATAAACTTCATACATTGTTAAGACAGAGAACTACCATAAATACACATATGAAAACACAATTGCAAATTATATTGTCTCGAATCATCTCCATGTTGTTTGTGAATGTAAGTGATCTTTTAATTGCTCGGGGAAGGTACTCAGACCCCTGCCGAGCTGAGTGACTCAGGTGAGTACAAGTCAACACACCTGAGACCTTCCTGAGTCTAGAAAAACCCCCAAAACATGAAGACTTATATAAAAAATTGTGGAAAATCCAAAAATTAAGAAAAAATAAAAACCCGAACATTCATACTGATCCAGATAATGTATATAAAAAATTGAATAAGAACAAGTTAATGTTATTGACATGAGAAAAATCTGAAAAACATGTAAGAATCAGAAAAACTAAAA